CAGAGCCGGAGGTGGCCGTGACGGTGAAGGTTCCCGCCCCAGCCCGCCTGCCCTGTCCTCGCAGCCATGTGACAGGAAGTTTCCTCTCTCCCAGGTTCCTTCCAGGCCTCGTTTTGCCCCCATGTACTGGGCTGCCGGGATCAAGTGGTCTCCGAAGGCCAGGTTGAGTTTGACATCTCAGAGCCGGAGGTGGCCGTGACGGTGAAGGTTCCAGAAGGAAAGTCTTTAGTTCTGGTGTGTTCTGCTTGTCCCCCAACTTGCTTCTCCCACAGCTGCCTGGGTCGCCCATTCTTTGTATCTGTGAGGCCCGTGGTAGTAATTCCTCCAAGGAGTTGAAGTCAAATTTCTAGAAAAGCATTTAAATTTTATAGTCATCTTGTACTAAAAAAAAAAAAGAACAAGAGGAAGAAGAAGAAAGCACGTGACGATTAAAGTCCAGGGAAGTGGATTGACAGAGAGCGAGCCCCTCGCCTTCCACTGCCCCTGCTCACCCCCCATCCGCTGGTCTCTCTGCAGCGTTTCCTGCTCCTGGCTTTTGGCTTCCACAGTGTGTTCCCTCGGTTTTCTCCGGCTTTTGCTGGCGCTTCTGTGGTTTCTCTCTCCTCCTTGTCTCTGTGTATTGGTCAAGTTTGACACTGGGCCTCCTCGTATCATTTCTCTCTGGCTCTATCACCTGCACCCAGTAATTCTATTTGCCTCTCTGTGGGAAGGATGCTCACCCCTATAAATTCATCTCCAATCTTTCCTGAGCTTTCCAGGCCCAGTGCATGACCGCCTACTGGGTTCCTGCTTCCTGAAGACCGCACAGGTCCCTCGCACGCAGCCTGCTCCCTGCAGAGCCCCAGTGCGCCCCACCCTGCTCACTGCCATGGTGATGGGACCCAGCGGCCTCTTTCTCCACCATCTTTGCTCCTACAGACTCAGCCATCACACACTGTGGATGTGCCCTCTGCCGTGTCTTTTTAGAGCATCTCTTCCATTTGGGTCCCATTGTTCTCCTTGACCATCCTTTCTCTCAGTCGGGTGGGTCCAACCACCTGCCGTGGTCTCCCTTCTTCTGCCCCACCTCCATGCTCTTGGGAGTGACCGACCTGGCCAAAGGGCTCAGAGCATGCCAGGTGACCCCCACCGCTGACAGGATGCTGTTTGTGTGTTTCCCTGGGATCCACGTCTAACTCATCTTTCACCCTCCTCTCCTGCCATTCCTCTGCTCCAGGCCTCCCCCTCTCATGCTTCTCTCTCTGGCCATGCTGACCCATTCTCAAGCCCCCAGACATGCCATTTCCTCTCACACCCCTAGACTTTCTCATGCTGTCCGTTTTTCTAACATTCCTACATCTCTGCTTGGAGAAGTCCTGTTGACTCATTCATCCAGCTCAGAATTAACTCATTATGTCTGCAAAGTCTTCCAGGGAACTAGGCCCCTCACCCAGACCCCACTGTAGTGCTCTCCAGCCCTGTGCTGTGCCTTCTCTGCCCTATAGTTGTGTCATCTTCCTGGGGGACAAGGCCTTGACCATTAATTTTGCACCTCTTATGCCTAAAACACTGCCTAGAGCATGGTGCTTGGCCAATGCTTATTGAATTGAATATTGTGAGAGTAATAAACTCTCTGTAAGCCCCATAATCTGGTGCACAGTTGGCAAAATACATTTGAAAATTTCTGCAGCATTTGCTGTGGGCATAAACTGATTTATACAGGCAGAGGGAACCAAGCAGCACTTTTAAAGACTGGGCTACATTTATTCATGACAGAGAGCTGGGAGAATCCCAGGCATGGGTCACCAGGGCCTTGGCCATCTAACAGTGCCCTGCTCACCCCAAGGTCTCCAGCCCAGCCAGCCCTTGCAGCTGCTGCTTCTTTGAGCAAGTGGTGCTCCCAGGTGTCTGCCTGGTGCTCCCTGCACAGCCATGTGGTTGGAGCCTCTAACCCTGGCTGATGTTAATATTTGCTCTTATGATTTCACAAATCCTGATTCATCTAGTCTTGGACTTGGACTAATAAGGAGCATTGTTCTTGGTGAAGAGAAAGTACCGGTTGAGTAGCCCTTATCTGAAATGCTTGGGACCAGATTTGGGATTTTTTTCAAATTTTTAAATGTTTGTGTAATGCTTATGGGTTGAGCATCCCCAACTCAAAAATCCGAAATCCAAAATCCTCCTCCAAAGAGTGTTTCTTTTGAGCATGTCCTTTGAGTGTCATGTCGGTGCTCCAAAAGTGTCACATTTTAAAGCATTTGGGACTTTGAATTTTTGGACTAGGGATGCTCAACCTGCATAAATAATAGCCTTGGTTGTGCTTGTCATGGAACCCCAGTGACATGTGGTTGGTCTCTTTTAGGTCCGTGTTCTAGTGGTGCCTGCAGAGACTCACGACTACCAAATACTTCACAAAAAATCAGTGGACAAGGCACTTGAGTTTATCACCAATTGTGGAGGAAACAGTTTTTATATTGAGTGAGTGTCACCCTGTGGGAAGGCTCTGGAATGTATCAGGCACTCCCACATTCCTGACCCAAGGGAGGTTCAGGGAGGGGCTGGCCCTTAGGTCTGTCCTCTTACTCTCACCACTGGAGGGAGTGGCAGGGAGCTGGAGTCTGGGGAGGAAGACGCTGCCCTGTGCACTGGTCATCCTACGACAGACTTCATCATGCGCCATCCGGGAACCATGACTTTAAACTCAGCAGAGGTCCTCCCTCCAACCTGGATTCAGGGGCTGATTAAAATTTCTCCACCTCGCTGCTTCCTGTGTGTTCACACAGATTCCTGAAAGATACCAAACAGGACAGCCCCCACTGGGAAGGAGGTCAGCCTGACTCCCACTCCCCTTGGCCATCTGCCCGAGCAGGGAGTGTCCCAAGATGCCACCTCCCTGTCTTCTCTCTCTGCACCCCTGAATGCCAAGGACCAGGGCAACCCTAAGCATCAGCTCCTAGCTGTTCCCTTATCTGTGGACCCACCCTGCTCCTCCCAGGTTTCCTGAGGCACCCAGGAGCTCCAGGGGCCCTGGGAGACAGATGCCTCCTGGGAGTCATACACCTTCTGTGCAGCGAATATTCAGAGCAAAGGCTCTGACAGCTATGGCTTAAGACATCTGCTCAGCCACTACAAAGCTCTGCAGCCTTGGCAATGTCCCTCAATTTCTAGGAGCCTCAGATGTCTTATTTGGGAATTGGGGCTCAGGCCTAAGAGGGTGAGAGGTTGTGAGGTCACATGAGGTGTAGATAAGGCCTCCTGAGCACGACATTCAGTGAATGTGGGCAGCTTTACTTTTCTTCATTATCTTTTTTAAAGTTGTATTATTACAGATATAGGTGTGTTTTGTGGGGCACTTTATTTAGATATGATTCATCTACCATAGACTTCATCTGTTAGGGGCATTTTCACCTTTTATTCCACCCACTGACCAGTCTTGTGATGTCCCTCTCCTGCAGTGGACGCATGTGGCTGAGTCCAAGTGGGGTGCCTTCTCACTCTTCCCAGACTCCAGAGCCCTGCTCACTCCCAGAGACACTGCTGGGTGGAACAGGGGGGTAGGAGCCATTTCCAGGCCCACCTCTGGGGTCTCACCATGGGTCATTTTGGTCTCCACAGCCCACAGACAGCCTCAGAATTCTGTAAGAATTCCGCCCGGTCCCTGGTGGCCTCTTACCACAAGGGCGCACTGCCTTGTGAGTGCCACCCCACTGGGGCCATCGGCCATCCCTGCAGTCCCCAGGGCGGGCAGTGCCCTTGCCGACCCAACGTCATCGGGCGGCAGTGTACCCGGTGTGCACCAGGCCACTATGGATTCCCTCACTGCAAGGGTAAGTGCACGTTCCCGGGCGCCTGAGGTCTTCTCCTGGCAGCGTCTAGACTCTCTGTGATGGAGACTCACTGGGACTCTGACTCAGAGACCTGAGCTGGGCCCTGGGACTCTGCGTTTCTAATAAACACCCAGGTGACGCCCATGTCACTGGTCCACAGACCATACTCTGAGTAGCAAGGTTCTAGAAGATGTGTTTGTGACTCCCACACCATATGACCTAGGCATTTGACAAAGCAGGTGAGTGTAAATAGTCTTAAACGTCAGGGTCTCAGACAGCGCAATTCCCTTTTAGTGGAATCCCCTGCAATTTTTGCAGCCCAGCCAAAACTCAGTTGAGATAGGAGAGCCAGGGTCACACAGGTGTCCCACTCCCTGGATGAGAAGCCCTTGGACCTTTGTCTAAGGATTGTCCTGTAGCCCACGGTGTAGGGTTAGCCCACTTTATTTTTATAAGTGTTTTATTGCAAATTTGGCAATAGTTTTTAAGAACATAAGCTAGATTGATGTTTAGTCTTTCACAAAAGAAATGATGCTCTAAGAACAACTCTAATATCTCAATAGAATGTAAAATACTTTTAACTTATTTATAAAGCAAAATTACTTGATAAGTAGTAAAAACATTAATAAAAAGCAATATATTGAAAGGAAATTAACAGAACACATACAAAAAACATTCTGCTGAAATAGTAAGTATACTTCTATATGATATTTATTTGCAGAGTGAAGATGTTAGTAATATGTATGGATTGTTCTGCTCTGACTGTTTTGTGATTTTGAGGGTAGCCCACTTGATGTGGCAGCAGGGAGGAATGCAGAGTCCCCATGTGGCCACCAGCCCTTGCCTGTGGGAGAGAACGAGGACCCTGCCACTGTGTCCTGCCCTGACCCTGGCTCTGGACCCATGATGCACTGGGGTGATGTGGCTGTAGGGCCACTTGGGCTTCCCTGCTCACTTCTAGAACCCCCTGATGGACAGAAGCCCCACAGTAGAATGGTACACGACAGTAGTAGGTACGTGACCACCGCTCGGTGGGATACTTGGAGTGTCCCTCATGGAGCCAGGTGGTCCTGCTGTACCTCATTCTGCATCCAGACACTGTATCTAGGGGTCTCCGCCGCAGGAAACATTCCTTTCAGATCAGAACATCTCTTCCAGACCCCTCAGAAGTTTCTGGAAATCATGGCAGTCTGTGTAGTCCTGCCGGAGGTCAGGCAGCATCTAACCCTGACGTGGTATCTCTTTATCCTCTGGCCAGCATGCAGCTGCGGCCGGCGACTCTGTGACGAGATGACTGGGCAGTGCCTCTGCCCTCCGCGCACGGTCCGCCCCCAGTGTGAGGCGTGTGAGGCCCACTCCTTCAGCTTCCACCCCCTGGCCGGCTGCGAAGGCTGCAACTGTTCAAGGAGGGGAACCGTCGGGGCCGCCACCCCAGCCTGTGACCGGGACAGTGGGCAGTGCAGGTGAGCTTGGCAGGAGTGGCCTGCCAGATCCCGTCATGGGGCGGGGGCGAGATGCGGTCTGTCCATGCTGGCCATCATTACTTCCCACCTGTCTAGGAGTGCCTGATCTCGCTCAGGTGAGCCTCCCGGTCGGGCAGTGCTATGGTGGGTGGAGTGATTGCTCCCTTCAGGCTCAGGGCAACTGGGATCACCAGCTGCCAGGCCCGAGCAGCCTCGCACTTGTACCCCAGCATGCTGTTGCCATAGGATCGTGTTCTGTGTTGCCACAATGCCACCATGTTGCCTCATGTGGGTAATTAAGTTATCAGTATCCTCTATGTCCTCCGCCGTGAGGCCTGTGTGTAGGCGTGGGCTGTGAGCCCTCATTCTAGGGTTAGCCTGCTGTATGTTAAGGACAGTGAGCGACAGTCTGTGATCCTTGGGCTGGAAGGGGAGCTGAGACCTCCACAGCCGGGCTCAGTTAAAATGGGAAGGGAATGGGTGTGTGCTGGGGACCTGAGAGTGGGGCTGGCCTCAGAGGACCACCAAGCACTCCTGTGCATGGAGCTAAGAGACAGGTTGCAAATGTGGGCCCCAGCAGATGCCGGGATGCTGTTTGGTTCAGCAGCCTGGGCTCTGCCTTAGAAGGTGAGGCCAGTGTCCCTTGCATGGTTCCCAGTGATGAGCCTGATCTCAGCAGTGTCAGTGGCCATAGGGATAAAGAACAGGATTCAGTTCTTAGAAGATCTGGTAAGAATTGGGCTGGGGGTGACATGATGGGAAAACTGGGCCGTAGCTTCCAGAGTCCAGGCCAGTATGGTTGTGTGCAGGGGAAAGCATGGGGTTCACCATCCACCCCACACCCCCAACACAGGTGTGCAGCCCCCAGAGAAGTTACAGGGGCTGTGGCCTGTGATTTCAGCATGAGAG